GAATTCTAAAACCAACAGCATCAAAACATCAGCAGACTACTTAAAAAAATAATTGCTAATAAAAGCTTTGGCCTAGGGGCTCCTGGGTGGCTCAGTCGGGTAAGCAAGCATCTGCCTTCAGCTCAGGTCATGATCCCAGTGGGGAACCTGCTTCTCCCTCTCCCTCTCCTTCTGCCTGCAGCTCCACCTGCTTGTGCTCTATCAGATAAATAAATAAAATCTTAAAAAAAAAAAAAAAAGCTTTGGTCTAAAATCAAAAAACTGGTATATTAGTTTTTACATTTTATACTAAAATAAAATATTTTAGGTACATATTATCTTTTTGAATGATTTTCTATTTTAATCAAATTTTTTGACTTACTGAGTCTGAAGGATTTTTTTCCCAAATGCTCATATTTTATATATATTTAGATAAAAATTTGTATGGAATATGAATTTGGCCAGATTTTAAAATGAATTTGGGTCTGTGGGGCCTGAAATATAGGAAATCTGTCTCTCATTAAATATCACAAAATGAATTCCACAGCATATTAAAAGGATCATTCACCATGACCAAGTGGGATTTATCCCTGGGCTGTAAGGATGGTTCAACCTATGCATATTAATCAATATGATATATCACATTAATAGAATGAAAGAAAAGAATCATGATCATCTCAATAGATGCAGAAAAAGCATTTGGCAAAATTCAGCATCTACCCACAATCAATGAAAACTCTTAAAAAGTAGGCAAAGAAGGAATATATCTCAACATAAGAAAGGCCATATATGACACGTCCATAGCTAACATTGTACTCAATGGTAAAAGGATGAAAACTTTAAGATCAAGAACAAGACAAAGGTACCCACACTCACCACTACTATTCAACATAGTACTGGAAGTTCTAGCTAGAGCAGTCAGGCAAGAAAAAAGATCAGAATAAGAAAGGAAGAAGTAAAATTGCCTTGATTTGCAGATGACATATAATATAGAAAATCCTAAAGACTCAACCTAAAAACTGTTAAACCTAATTAATGAATTCAGTAAAATTACAAGATATAAAATTAACATACAACCAAACTAAGGGTCCTAGAGGGGAGGGGGGTGGGGGGATGGGTTAGCCTGGTGATGGGTATTATAGAGGGCACATACTGAATGGAGCACTGGGTGTTATATGCAAACAATGAATCATGGAACACTACATCAAAAACTAATGATGTAATGTATGGTGATTAACATAATAAAAAATGGTAATAAAAAATTAACATACAACCATTAGTGGTGTTTCTATACACTAAAAATGAAATTTCTGAAAAAGAAATAAAGAAATCAGTCCTATTTACAATAGCATCAAAAACAGTAAAATACTTAGGAATACATTTAACTAAGGAGGTAAAAGATCTCTATGCTGAAAACTACAAGATATTGATGAAGTAAATTGAAGAAAATACAAGTAAATGGAAAGATAACCTGTGTTCTTGGGTTGGAAGAATTAATATTGTTATAACGTCAATACTACTGAAAGCGATTTATAGATTTAGTACAATCTCTATCAAGATTCCAATGGCATTTTTTTACAGAAGTAGACAAAATGCTCCTAAAATTTATATGGAACCATAAAAGAGCCTGAAAAGCCAAAGAAATCCTAAGAAAGAACAAAGCAGGAAGTATCACTCTTCCTGATTTCAAGCTATACAATAAAGCTATAGTCACAAAAACTGTACAGTACTAGCATAAAACAGACCCAAATCGGCCAATGGAACAGAATCAGGAGCTGAGAAATAAACCCAAACATACGACCAACTAATATTTGACAAGAGAGTCAAGAATACTCAATGGAGAAAAGACAATTTCTTCAGTAATGGTGCTGGGATAATTGGTATTCACATGTAAAAGAATGTAACTAGACCCGTATCTTGCACCACTTATAAAAATTAACTTGAAATGGATTAAATAGGGGCACCTGGGTGGCTCAGTTTTTAAGCATCTGCCTTCGGCTCAGGTCATGATCCCAGGGTCCTGGGATTGAGCCCCGTGTCAGGCTCCCTACTCCGTGGGAAGCCTGCTTCTCCCTCTCCCACTCCCCCTACTTGTGTTCCCTCTCTCGCTGTATCTCTGTCAAATAAATAAATAAAATCTTAAAATGGATTAAATACTTAAATGTAAGACCTGATATCATGAAATTTCTAGAACAAAATATAGGAACAAAGCTCCTTTACATGGGTCTTGGTAGTGATTTTTTAGAAATGACACCTAAAGCATAAGCAACACAATCAGAAATAAACAATTGGGACTAAAACTAGAAAGCTTCTGCACAGCAAAAGAAACCATCAGCAAAGTGAAAAGGCAACCTATGGAACGAGAAAATATATTTGCAAACCATATATCTGATAAGGGGTTAATACCCAAAATATATAAAGAACTCATACAACTTAATAGCAAAAAAATAATAATCCAGTTTAAAAACGGGCAAAGCACCGAAATAGACATTTTCCCAAAAATAATGTATGAAAGGCCAACAGGTATATGAAAAAGTACTCAACATTACTAGTCATTAGGGAAATGAAAATTAAAATCACAGTGAGATATCACCTCATGCCTGACCACAAGAGATCAGTCTTGTGGTTAAATAGAGGTGGGGGTGGGGAGTAAATGTTTTTCCTTTATTCTTCTTTCTTTTCTTTTTATTGTGTCTATATAAGAAGATGGATGTTAGCTGCACGTATTGTGGTAATCATTTCGCAACATATATAAACTAAACCATCATCCTATGCACCTTAAACGTATACGGTGATGTATGCCAAATATTTCTCAATAAAACTGGGGGAAAAAAATCAAACCCCCATAACATTTGGCACTGACATCGAGGAATATTTGTATAAAGTATTGACTCCTAAAATTACACTGCTTTTACATCTGTTACTGACATCAATATTTGGTATAAAATGTTTACGCAGATAACAAATGTCTGGAATCCTCACCAAAGGATGCATTTACAAGTCTGAGCATAGTGTTTTGTGGTGATGTGACAAACTACAGTATCAGATAAAGAAGCTTCTACTTCATTTTTTAAATTATTTTTTAATTACCCAGGAAATTGTGAATATAACTAGCCCAAACTAATGTAAATGGCCAATATTTCTCTGAATTGACATTAATGTTAAATTTTGTTAAATGTTAAATTTTAAATGTTAAATGTTAAAATTTTCAAGCACCACTTTCAAGCTCCTTCCGTTTTTTTCCCTTGAACTTATACAATAAGTTTACACACAGTAATTGTCACATTGATTAGCAGATTTTGATATATAATTGTCCTACTTTGGATTCCATGAGAGAAAATAATAACCAAGTTAATACATGCCATAATACATGTATTCACATATCATATAATCAATAATTATTTAGCATCTGTTATGTGCCAGTCTCTGTTCTTAGCCAAAACAAGAATAAAACAGATAAAAATTCCCGGCCTTGTAGTGCTTACATTTTGTTAGGGGGATATAAAAAAAACAAAAACCATAAAAGTTAGATAATGTGCTAGAAAGTGACATATGCTATTAAAAAAAAAAAGGAAAAAGCAGTTGGGGAATGCTGGGCCAGGGCTGCAATTCTAAATAGGCTGGACTGGGAAAACCATACTGACAAGGTGACATTTAGATTAGGACCTATAAGAGGTAAGGGAATAAATCAGGAAGAAATGTGGAAGAAGAGTAATCCATGCCAGGAGCCTTGACAAAGCTTAGTCATAAAGCAGTTTCACCTATAAGTAGAATGACAGTATAATTTATGCTTAAAGCAAGACATATGTATTAGACAGCCTGTGGCATAAGCTCTCTCTTCTGTATTTCTATTAAAAAAAAAAAAACTTATCTGCTACCCTAAAGTCATGAAAATAAAGTGGGTTTTTTTTTTCATAAATTTATAACAGCACGATAGTGATAAAAGGGCCCTGGACTCCATACCTGAAAGTCCAGCTGCAACTTCTGCTCCACCCTACACACCATATTAGGTGGCAACAACAAGCTAGTGAACGTGAAAATAGAGAAATACAGTTGTCTAAATTAAAATATTTGTCCATTTTCATCCAAGTCAGGTTTAAAAAAAAAGAGTACCTACAATTTTGCCAAGTTCAGATTCATTTAGTGAAAAAATTAATAATCCTTGAACCTCACTTTCTGGGGTTTTTTCTGTCCTGGGAAGTTTTCTGTCCTGGGTACTACTTTGCATATGTACATGTTTACCAAGTCACAGCTATTAAAGTCATGACCTTAAATGAAAAAAATGAAACATATGATAAAATCTTTAAAAATAAGCAGGGAGTGGAGTGGAGTGGAGGGGGGGTGGGAGGGATGGAGTGGCTGGGTGATGGACATTGGGGAGAGTATGTACTATGGTGAGCACTGTAAATTGTATAAGACTGATGAATCACAGACCTGTACCCCTGAAACAAATAATACATTATATATTAACAAAAAAATTAAAAAAAAAAATAAGCAGAGAGTGCCTGGGTGGCTCAGTCAGTTAAGCATCTGACTTCAGCTCAGGTCGTGATCTCAGGGTCCTGGGATCAAGCCCCGCATTGGGCTCTCTAATTGGCAGGGAGTCTGCTTGTCCCTCTCTCTCTGCCCCTCCCCCTGCTCATGCACTCTCTCTCCCTCGCTGTCTCTCAAATAAATAAATAAAATACAGTAACCAGTAAGTTCTTGTCAAAACAGCCAGAAGCTTTCTGTCCCTTTCTGGCATTCAAGATGTCAAAGTAAGCAGGATGCCTGGGTGGCTCAGTTCGTGAAGCACCTGCCTTCGGCTTCGGTCACGATCCCAGGGTCCTGGGATGGAGTCCCACAGTGGGCTTCTTGCTCAGCGAGGAGCCTGCTTCTCCCTCTGCCTGCCACCTCCCCTACTTGTATTCTCTCTGACAAATAAAGAAATAAAATCTAAAAAAAAAAAAAAAAGATGTCAAAGTAAGGATGTGGTAGATCTATTGTGAAATTCTAGATTTCCCTGGGTCTTCACGTAATAGCTGTGACACAGGAGCCAAAACTGTTTATCATCTCTGTGAAGGCGCTCAAAGGACGACTGAGTAGACTTCCTGCTGCTGGTGTGGGTGACATGGTGACGGCCACAGTGAAGAAACACAACCCGGAGCTCAGAAAGAAGGTACATCCAGCAGTAGTAATTCCACAACGAAAATCATACTGGAGAAAAGATGGCATGTTTCTCTATTTTGAAGATAACATGGGGGTCACAGTAAACAATAAGGCAAAACAAAAGGTTCTGCTATCATAGGACCAGTTGCAAAGGAGTGTGCAGACTTGTGGCCCAGGATTGCATCCAATGCTGGCAGGATTGCATGATTCTTTGGTGTTTAAAGATTTATTTATTAATTTTGAGAGCAAGAGCAAGGGAGGGAGAGGGAGAGGGAGAGAGTGAGTGGGGCAGGGAGGTTGGAGGGAGGGAGAGAGAGAGAATGCCAAGCAGACTCCCCCCTGAGTGAGAAGCCCCATGCAGGGCTCTGTCTCACAACCCTGAGATCATGACCTGAACCAAAATCAAGAATCAGATGCTTACTGACTGAGCCACCCTGGCATCTCTCTTTGGTGTATTTGTTTAAAAAAAAATTAAAAATTATTTGCTCTCCCCTGCACTCTAAAAAAGAGAGCAAGGACACCCAGCCCTTTGAGGAAACATTTCTGTAAGTGTGGGAAGACAGCTTAACCATTAGTTTATTGGATAACTTTACATAAGTCACTTGCCTTTTTTGCATCTATTTTCCTTCTCTTTTTAATGGAAATGATAACATATGTCTTACCCACTGCACAATGTTAATGTTAGGTAACATATGTTAAAAGGCTTTGATTATAAAAGTGTTATGTGTCATCATAATCATCACTAATCATTTACTGATTATCTAGTATAATTAGAGCAATATGATAAATGTTTATTGGCGACCGAGAGCCCGGATACAATAAAAAAATAAAATAAAATTTAATAATACCTGCCCTACCCATGGAATAAGATTAGAATTGGATGAATAACATATGAGCTTCATAGAAATGTGTGCAAATACTAGCATTGTCTGAAATAAAGCCAAGCACTTAGCAAAGATTACAGCTGGAATAAATTATTGGGTAGTGCTAAGTTTTTGGAGATTATATAAAATGATGCAAAAACTTGCAAGGAACATCCACTGAAAGGGACTGAGTCTTGAGAGAAAGGTAACACAGCAAGTAAGTAAGAAATAATGAACAAAAGTTATAAAGTTATTTTACAGGACAAACTAGAGATATAACCAAAACAATATTTGTAATAGTGAGAATTTCATCATTTGAAGGGGAGAAACTTAGTCTTATTCACATGTAAGTTAGCTTGACAAAGTAGCCACAGGACTATAATTGGGGTCCTAAGTTGTGTTAGATCATTCAATTGGAAGAGCAAGATCAGGTAAAGTCACTCAAGAAAACGCTTTTCTAGACTGTAAAATTGTTAATGTAGACTTCTAGAGAAGATGGATCCTAAGCTCACTTCGTCCATGGGCACAACTAGATAACAGCCTCATCAGTGTAAATAACCCAGAACAACCCAAAGACTAGCAGAACAGACTCTTCACAGCTAAATGTAGAGCAGAGGTCACATTGAAGAGGGTATGAAGGGCAAAGATGAGGTTGGGAGCTAAACAGACCTCTGGGGCTGTCCATGGAAGGGAGGAATGTGCTGGGCAGGGAGGGGGCAAGAAACAGAACCTCACACCAGGTACCCCAGGCATGGGGAACCCACACAGGAAGAAGAATCCCTATAACATTTGGCTTTGAAAACCAGAGAAGCCCAACAGTCAGTGGGATTTAACACCTGGAACTTTAAAAATCAGTAGGCTTGGCTCTGGGAAGGTTGTGGCAGGGATGGGGGGGTGTTAGGAACTGAGTCCCTACCCTTAAAGAGAGAGCACAACAAACACCCCATGGAGGTACAGTATAGAAGCAGAAGTTTGAAAAATGCCTAAGGTATACAAGAGGTTGATTTGTTTACTAATCTCAGAGCATGTGCCTTGGGAGACTTCTCAAAGAACAAAAGAGCTGGTGGACCCCATTTCCACCTCCTGCCCTCCAGCCTAGATACACAGACACCTATGCAGAAAAGCGTGGCACCAAAGCTCTCCACCTAGCTTGCTGACAGCATGCCCCATCCCCATATTTTCTTGCAGACCTGCCCCTTCCAATACTCCCTTGGCCAGAACCCATCCAAAACAGTGTCAAAAGGCTGGCATTGTGCAAGCAGACCTGACAGGGGCAAGCACCACTCCAAATTGACTACTGCAAGATAACCACACACAGCAGTCTGAGTACAGGCCCAGCAGTGGGCTAGGTCAGACATCTGGTCTGACTGCAGTCCCCACCCACCAACAAAAGCTTCTCAGGGGACAATAAAGGTAATCCACCCTGTAGCTCAGTGCTACTGCATCTCTGGCAAATACCTAGTCTGACTCAGCTCAAGCCCAAGGTGGCCCCAAACTGGCCCACTAACAATACAGGGACCAAACCTTCCCCACAATGGGCAGAGAGACATTGCAGACAAGTGGACCAAAGGAAAAAATGGCTCAGCCACAACAGTAAGGCATGTGCAACACACATAAGACACTCTTGAAGAGCCAGGTTCCAGTGAACAGGGGACACTGCACTGCAGGGCACTACAGGACCTCTTCTTCATAAGGCCGCTACTTTCAAAAGCAGGAGATGTAGGTGAGTTTCCTAACACATAGAAACAGACACAGAGAGTTAGAGAAAATGAGGAGACAGAGGAATATGACCCAAATGAAAGACCAGGACAAAATCACAGCAAGAGAGCTAAACAAAACAGAGATAAGTAACATGTGTGATATAGAGACTTTAAAGTAATAGTCATAAAGACCAATGGACTGGAGAAAAGAGTAGAGGACCTCAGTGAGACCCTCAACAAAGAGAAAACATTAAAAAAAATCAGAGATGAAGAACTTAAGAAATGAAATTAAAAATACAATGGACGGGGGTGCCTGGTGGCTCAGTTGGCTAAGCGTCTGCCTTAACTCAGATCATGATTCCAGGGTCCTGGGATCACGCCCCGCGTCAGGGGCTCTCCCTCTCCCTGTCCCTCACTTGTGCTCTCTCTTGCTACCTCTCTCTCAATTAAATAAATTCAATCTTTTTTAAAAAATGCAATGGATGAAATAAATAGTAGACTAGAGGAAGCAAAAGAAGGGATCAGGTATGGGCACCTGGGTGGCTCAGTTGTTAAGTGTCTGCCTTTGGCTCAGGTCATGATCTCAGGATCCTGCTTCTCCCCCTCCCACTCCCCTGCTTGTGTTCCCTCTCTTGCTGTGTCTCTCTCTGTCAAATTAATAAAATCTTAAAAAAAAAAAAAAAAGAAGGGATCAGTAACCTGGAGGACAGAGTAATGGAAAGCAATCAAGCTGAAAAGGAGAGAGAAAAAAATAATAAAAAATGAAAACAGACTGAGGGAACTCAGCAACACCATCAAGCATAATAACATTTGCATTATGGGATCCCAGAAGAAGAAGAGAGAGAAAATGGGGCAGAAAATTTATTTGAAGAAATAATAACTAAAAACTTCCTGAGGGGCGCCTGGGTGGCTCAGTTGGTTAAGCGACTGCCTTCAGCTCGGGTCATGATCCTGGAGTCCCGGGATCGAGTCCCACATGGGGCTCCCTGCTCAGCAGGGAGTCTGCTTCTCCCTCTGACCCTCTTCCCTCTCGTGCTCTCTGTCTCTCATTCTCTCTCTCTCAAATAAATAAATAAAAATCTTAAAAAAAAAATAAAAAAAATAAAAAAAAAAATAAAAACTTCCTGAATCTGGAGAATGAAACAGAAATTAGAGCCAAGAGGCACAGAGAGCCCCAACAAAACCAACCCAAGGAGGTCCACACCAAGACACATAGTAATTAAAATGAAAAAAAGTAGTAATAGAGAATTTTAAAAGCATCAAGAGAAGAGGTGCCTGGTTGGCTCAGTTAGTTAAGTATCCTACTCTTGGTTTTGGTTCAGGTCATGATCTCAGGGTTGTGGGATCAAGCCTCCCACTCATGCTCTCTCTCTCTCTCTCTAAAATAAATAAACGGGGCCTCTGGGTGGCTCAGTCGGGTAAACATCTACCTTCGGCTCAGTTCATGATCCCAGGGTTCTGGGATCAAGCGCCACATCAGGCTCCTATCTCGGGGGGAGTCTACTTCTCTCTCTGCCTGCCGCTCCCCCTGCTTGTGCTCTCTTGCTCTCTCACTGTCTCTCTCTGACAAATAAATAAATAAAATCTAAAAAAATAAAATAAAAAAACTATTAAAAAAATAATAAATAAATCTTTTTTTAAAAAAGAAAATAGGAAAATTTTTTTTTTAAAAAGTAACAGAGAACATAAAACAAGTAACAAAATGGCAGTAACTACATACCTATCAATAATTACTTCAAAAGTGAATGTACTAAATGCTCCAATCAAAAGACACAGGGTGAGGCACTTGGGTGTCTCAGTCAGTTAAGCGTCTGGCTCTTGATTTCAGCTCAAGTCATGATCTCAGGGTTATGAGATGGAGCCCCGTGTCAGGCTCCGTGCTGGGTATGGAGCCTGCTTAAGATTCTCTCTCCCTTGCCCTCTGCCCCTGCCTCCCCTCCCTCTCTCTAAAATAACAAACAAACAAACAAAAATAGGGTGATGGGATGGATAAAAAAGTAAGTGTCATCTATCTCCTGCCTACAAGAGACTCCTTTCAGACCTAGAGACACATACAGTTGAAAGTGAAGGGATGGGAAGGCATTTACCACACAAATGAAAGTGAAAAGAGGGCGCCTGGGTGGCTCGGTCAGTTAAGCATCTGTCTTCAGCTCAGGTCATGATCCCGGGATCCCGGGATCAAATCCATCATCCCAGCGCTGGGCTCCCAGCTCCACGGGGAGCCTGCTTCTCCCTCTGCCTGCCGCTCCTCCTGCTTGGGCTCTCGTTCTCTCTTTCTCTCTGACAAATAAATAAATAATATCTTAAAAAATAAAAGAGTTAATACCTATGGGGTGCATGGGTGGCTCAGTCAGTTAAGCGTCCGACTCAATTTTGGCTCAGGGTCATGAAATCAAGCCCTGTGTTGTCCTCAGCAGGGAGTCTGCTTCTCCCCCTCTCCCTGTTCACACTCTCTAAGAAAATAAATAAATAAATCTCTTTTAAAAAAATAAATAAACA